TATATTATACATACAACGATCTCTCCCCATGTTCTGCTCGCTGCGGCACTGCTATGTAGTGTCTCCGCATAGCAGTATGCGTTACAGGTGGAAGCGCACAGTTAACCCTTTTGATCGGTACACCTCATGTTAATCCCTTCCTGCACAGTGCTGCATTAGTACCACTTGTCAGTGCTATTTATTAGCAACTGATTCACTGTAATTCGGATGTCATTGGGATGTCAGTGACACTAAGAGGTCAGTTCCCCACACCCTAATGTCAGAAATATGACCCACCGCAGTCCCGCTATATGTCACTGATCGCCGTCATTTCTAGTAAAAAAGAAATATCCACCAATATTCTATACCACCTATTTGTAGACACTATAACTTTCATGTAAAACCACAATTAATCTTACCGGATTGAGGATTTTTGTTTTAGACAAGAGACACGGAGCAGAATACATGTTGGCCTAAATTTTATGACGCAATTTTGATTCTTAAAATTTTTTTATCTGGAACATGGTTTAATAGCGAAAATAACATAATATATAGTTTTTTCTCAAAATAGTCGGTATTTTCATTTGTTTATAGCGCAATAAACAAAAACACGCTGCAGGCGATCAAAATAACACTAAGATTGCTTTATCTGTGGAGAAATATTAAAAACTCTGTAAGGGAATCATTATACAAGAAAGAATGCTCAAGAAAAATCTATCATGAAATGAACTAGAAGGGCATAAAATTCTATTTGGGATTGCAAGCGTTCGCATGACTGCACCGAATTCGCCAGTTAAGTAACACAGCGCTGTATCGCAAAAAAAATGGCACATGGTCAGGGACAGGGGCGGGGGGGGGGGGAAAAAATCATCAGTGATGGGCGCAACAGGTGGTTTTAAGCTCACGTGTGTCCTTTAAAATAAAAACACTCTCAGAAAATGTGATTCTGGCAAACAAAAGCGATGGCAAAAAACACATAAGTCACTTTTGCCCGTGGTTTTTGTGGGGGATCAGTGTGAAACAACAGCGCCTCACATCTTAAACCAGTCACATGGTCTATCGATCTAGTCGATGAAGCGATATAGGAACATGGCGAAGTGGAATATCGTTGGATTATTGGGGAAATTATTCGATTCGCGACGAATCCAATAATTAGCCAACTTCGGAGGCACGAATCGATAAATTTCCCAAAAATGGCACTCTTTGTCGGTGGCGACATGTGCGGCGATCAGAGAGAAAATGAGAGCAGAGAAGAGGGGCGTGGGGATCTCTGGGAAGGGTAGTGATTTGCGCAGACAAGGCGTGCTGACCAATATAGGGATTCATCTGGAGGGTGATCGCATTAGCCACATCGGCAGGCCAGCTCGCCTGCACTGTGTAATGGCTGGAGCTATAGAATCGAGGGGATGGAGGTAAGATCTTAGAATTCCTTCTTTAGGAGTAGGGGTCATATGAAGCAGGGGGCTGAGGACCTGTGCTGTGTCAATGCTATTGAGGGACAGAGCGTTAGCGAAGCACCACTGAGATTCAAGGGCCACAGTGGCATCAGTTAGCCAGGGTCACAGTATAGCCGGTTAGACGGGGAGGGGGCAGGTAGACAGGGTCTTTGTCTGGAGGGGTAACAGAATCCGAAGACTTAGGGGCGCTGAAATTCTTAGTCAGGGGACAAGAATAGTACTGTAAGGACAGAGGATACTGTAACTTAGGTGGACACAGAACCGTTACTTAGGGAGGAGTGAATTCTTACTGAGGTGACACTGAATTCTAGAGGGGGGGGGGGGGGGCTGTTACTGAGGGAGACGGAAGGGAGGGGTAGTAAAGGAGGTACACCGAATTGCGTGTGAGAGAGAGAGGGACACAGGGAGAACCGTTATGAGGGACCCCGTATAGACGGCGGGACATTAGGAGGCGCCGGACAGGGATAGTAAGTGAGATAAAAGGGAACGCTATGCGGTTACTGAGGGACCAGTTGACCGTGGAGTAATGGCGGCAGAATTGTAACTCAGGCCAGGGAGATATTGGTTTTCTCAGGTGAGGAGGGTCTGGGTTTACTCTGCGACACAGCTGGGGGCTTTAGTAGGGGACACTCTAGAACGATACTCAGGGACACAGGAGGTTTTTAGTGCGGGAGAGGGTTGTCGGAGTTAGCTACGAAGGGCCTCAGAATTGTTACTCAGGGAAGGAAAGGGAATCTGAGTAGTGTTATCTGGAGCGGTCACAGAATCGTTAGTAGGGACAGAGACAGGAATTGTGACTCAGGGGGAACATGAATTGTTACTCAGAGGCGAGCTGAGGGACGTTAGTGAAGGTGGCCGAGAGCAGATGAGTGAAAGACGGGCCACAGTATTGCAGTCGCGGGGCAACAGTGAGGGGTACTCAGGGCCCACAAGAAACGTGGACTTAGGGGAGAGTGTAAATAGAGGTAGTGAGTGGGTGGGATATTGTGACGCAGAGGCCAGGGGGAATGCTAAGAGGGGGATGCGAGGTAAGAGTTACTCAGGGGCCCAGAATATGTACTTAGGGACACAGAAACGTTACTCTGGGCCACAGAATTGTTAGTGAAGGGCCAGAGGAATTGGTTACTCTGGGCCCACAGAGATTGTTACTCAGGGACACTAGAATTGTTTCTCAGGGACGGACTGAATCGTTAATCAGGGACACAGAATCGTTTGAATTAAAGAGTATGCTCAGACAACACCGCAGGAAAGGAGTGGGCAGAGAGGTAAGGCAAATGTTTTTAGGAGCGTGGCAGACGTAGGCAGCAGTGTCAGAGGAATAGGGGTCGAGGCCCAAGCACTAGTCGCAGCCAACGAGGTAGAAAGGCCAGTGCGTCCCGGATTGGTCATCCAGAGAGGTCGGTGTTGTCTTCCACTGACAACCACTGGTCATTGATTGGTTAGGCTCGGTCCGCCGTCTTCCTCTTCCCAGGTTACCTCTGACACCTAACAGCCGGAACCGGGGACGTGGGTACGTTCAGACACAACCGTTTAAGTAGTTGGCAGTTGGCCCCGGGAGAGCAAGCCCACGAAATCACCGGTTCCGCTACCTGCCCCCTTGTCCTTTGGGTGTTCCCTCACCAAGGAAGTTATCCCATGCTGGTGGGGAGCTCAGCCCCCAGATAGGGACAGTGATGAGGAGCTAACAGAGGTGAGGGGGGAGAGATCATGAGACGGGGGAGGGACAGATCCGCTTCTTCAGCAGCCAGGCAAAGACGAGTACTGGCGAGGAGAGTGGAACTCGGTAGTGCCGGTCTAGAGACAGGGTCTAAGTACTCCTGACCCACACGCAGACGGGAGTAGTGGGCTAAGTAGTGAGGCGGAGACCCTAATTGATGATGTGATGAGGGCTGATCCGCACTTGGCAGCCTCCTGTCTCATCAGGCTTCCTAGTGCTTCCGCAATCTCATGGAGAAAGTCGGGTTGCAGCTTGGCGGAGCGAGCAAAACTGTTCGGTGGGTTTGCACAGGAGGCAGCAGGGGGGTGAGCAGCTGCAGCGTGTCAAGGTGGGAGACAACGGCCACGGTGTAGAGCACCAGACTCCTACTGCAGCTCCTACCACCACGGCCAGTATGCGTGGCTGCCTTTAGTAGTGCACGCAGGAAGTAGACAGTCAGCCAATGTGAGGAAGTCTAGCAGGGGGGCAAAGTTCGCCTACTCGGCGGGGGGTGTCTGTGGCCATGGATGTGCAATTTTTCGTCAAGTAGATGACGCAGCCAGGGTAGTAATCGTAGCCGTATGTCTGTGGACTATGTAGCCAGAAAAAGTCAAGCTGTGGCCAGGGGGCCAATGTTGGGACTACAGCGTTTGCGTCAGCGATATGCAGCGTCGCCATTCGGTTGCCCTGGGAAAAAACCGTGCTAAAGATACGGCCGGTTCTGCCTGCCCCAGCCCCCGCTCCCATCACCCGCGCTCCATTACTTGCTCCGTCACCCGACGTCAATCGCCCTCTCTATCAGCCAGTCAAGGCTCTCAACACCATCTGCTGAGGGGAGTTGTCGCTCGTTGGCATCTTCCGCTCGTTCAGATGGCTCCTTCTCCTGCTACTCCTCTTTACAGATTCCGTCAGCAGTCTTTCTTGGAAATCCGTTTCCAAGAGACAACAGTTTGCGAGCACGCACCCGACGGTGCAGAAAGCTGAACGTCTCTCCTGTCCAATGTTGCTGGTGCTGCAGTCCCTCCCTTTCCAAGTGGTGGACTCAGCACCTTTCCGAGAAATGATGGCTTGTGCCGAGCCGCGAGGTGCGTGGAGAGTGCCAAGCCGGCTTTTTCTTCGCCATTAAAAGGCAGTGCCAGCCCTGCATTCACATGTAGAAGAGATGGTTCCATGCCAGTCTTTGAGCATGTCGGTCTCTGCCAAAGTGCACGGCAGCGCCGACGTGTGGAGCTGTAACTACGGTCAGGGGTACAGTACATGTCCTTTACTCGGGCCACTGGGTGAACGTGGTGCACAGGCACAGCCGCACCAGCAACTTGGACAGGTCACGCCGCTTTTGCCTCCACGTTTTGCACATCCTTGGTCCACACAAGATGTCCAGCTGGCAGATTACGGGCCTCCCATTGCTGCATGCCAGGCCCCTAATCTGCCATGGGCCCCGCTGTACCGCCTACTCATGCTGCTGCCAGGTCCACAATGTGTCATGGGTCCCTGTACGGCCTCTCCCATTGCTGCTGTCTCCATCACCACACACTCTGCCATGTGCCACTTTCAGGTCTCCTCACACTACTGCCACGTGGGTTCCATTTTGTCAAAGGGTGCTGGCATATTTTGGGCCTCCCATTGCTGCTGCCAGGCCCCCTAATCTGCCATGGGCCCCTGTACCGCCTCCTCATGAGAATGCTGCTGCCAGGTCCACAATGTGTCATGGGTCCCTGTACGGCCTCCCATTGCTGCTGTCTCCATCGCCACACTCTGCCTTGTGCCACTTTCAGGTCTCCTCACACTGCTGGTGGGTTCCATTTTGTCATAGGGGTGCTGGCAGATTACGGGCCTCCCATTGCTGCTGCCAGGCCCCTAATCTGCCCATGGGCCCCTGTACCGCCTACTCATGCTGCTGCCAGGTCCACAATGTGTCATGGGTCCCTGTACGGCCTCCCATTGCTGCTGTCTCCATCGCCACACTCTGCCATGTGCCCACTTTCAGGTCTCCTCACACTGCTGGTGGGTTCCATTTTGTCATAGGGTGCTGGCATATTTTGGGCCTCCCATTGCTGCTGCCCAGGCCCCTAATCTGCCATGGGCCCCTGTACCGCCTCCTCATGCTGCTGCCAGGTCCACAAATGTGTCATGGGGTCCCTGTACGGCCTCCCATTGCTGCTGTCTCCATCGCCACACTCTGCCTTGTGCCACTTTCAGGTCTCCTCACACTGCTGGTGTGGTTCCATTTTGTCATAGGGTGCTGGCAGATTACGGGCCTCCATTGCTGCTGCCAGGCCCCTAATCTGCCATGGGCCCCTGTACCGCCTACTCATGCTGCTGCCAGGTCCACAATGTGTCATGGGTCCCTGTACGGCCTCCCATTGCTGCTGTCTCCATCGCCACACTCTGCCATGTGCCACTTTCAGGTCTCCCTCACCCTGCTGGTGGGTTCCATTTTGTCATAGGGTGCTGGCATATTTTGGGCCTCCCATTGCTGCTGCCAGGCCCCCTAATCTGCCATGGGCCCCCTGTACCGCCTCCTCATGCTGCTGCCAGGTCCACAATGTGTCATGGGTCCCTGTACGGCCTCCCATTGCTGCTGTCTCCATCGCCACACTCTGTCTTGTGCCACTTTCAGGTCTCCTCACCACTGGCTGGTGGGTTCCATTTTGTCATTAGGGTGCTGGCAGATTACGGGCCCTCCCATTGCTGCTGCCAGGCCCCTAATCTGCCATGGGCCCCTGTACCGCCTTTACTCATGCTGCTGCCAGGTCCACAATTGTGTCATGGGTCCCTGTACGGCCTCCCATTGCTGCCTGTCGCCATCGCCACACTCTGCCATGTGCCACTTTCAGGTCTCCTCACACTGCTGGTGGGTTCCATTTTGTCATAGGGTGCTGGCATTTATTTGGGCCTCCCATTGCTGCTGCCAGGCCCCTAATCTGCCATGGGCCCCTGTACCGCCTCCTCATGCTGCTGCCAGGTCCACAATGTGTCATGGGTCCCCTGTACGGCCTCCCATTGCTTGCTGTCTCCATCGCCACACTCTGCCTTGTGCCACTTTCAGGTCTCCTCACACTGCTGGGTGGGTTCCATTTTGTCATAGGGTGCTGGCAGATTACAGGCCTCCCATTGCTGCTGCCAGGCCCCCTAATCTGCCATGGGCCCCCTGTACCGCCTATACTCATGCTGCTGCCAGGTCCACAATGTGTCATGGGTCCCTGTACGGCCTCCCATTGCTGCTGTCCTCCATCGCCACACTCTGCCTTGTGCCACTTTCAGTGTCTCCTCACAACTGCTGGTGGGTTCCATTTTGTCATAGGGTGCTGGCAGTTACGGCCTCCATTGCTGCTGCCAGGCCCTAATCTGCCATGGGCCCCTGTACCGCCTACTACATGCTGCTGCCATGGTGTCCACAATGTGTCATGGGTCCTGTACGGCCTCCCATTGCTGCTGTCTCCATCGCCACAAAACACTGATGCCATTGTGCCACTTTCAGGTCTCCTCACACTGCTGGTGGGTTCCATTTTGTCATAGTGGTGCTGGCATATTTTGGGCCTGCCCATTTGCTGCTGCCAGGCCCCCTATATTCTGCCAATGGGCCCCTCGTACCGCCTCCTCATGCTGCTGCCAGGTCCACAATGTGTCAGGGTCCCCTGTACGGCCTCCCATTGCTGCTGTCTCCATCGCCACACTCTGCCTTGTGCCACTTTCAGGTCTCCTCACACTGCTGGTGGGTTCCATTTTGTCATAGGTGCTGGCAGATTACGGGCCTCCTCCAATGCTGCTGCCAGCCCCTAATCTGCCATGGGCCCCTGTACCGCCTACTTCATTGCTGCCTGCCATTAGTCCCCACAATGTGTCATGGGGCTCCCTGTACGGCCATCCCATTGCTGCTGTCTCCATCGCCACACTCTGCCTGTGCCACTTTCAGGTACTCCTCACACTGCTGGTGGGTTCCATTTTGTCATAGGGTGCTGGCAAAATTACGGGCCTCCATTGCTGCTGCCAGGCCCCTAAACCCATCTGCCATGGGCCCGCTGTACCGCCTACTCATGCTGCTGCCAGTCCACAATTGTGTCTAGTGGGTCCCTGTACGGCCTCCCATTGCTGCTGTCTCTCATCGCCAAACTCTGCCATGTGCCACCTTTCAGGTCTTCCTCACACTGCTGGTGGGTTCCATTTTGTCATAGGGTGCTGTATGGCCTCCCATTGCTGCTGCCTCCACCGCCACACTGTGGCCTCCACACTCTGGTTTTGGCCCCGTGACTGCCCAAAACGTGAGTGAAATGTGTGCGGTGATTCTAAGATCGACGGCACTCATCTGCATGTTCATACTGACTGACAGTATTTATTTCTCATTCCCCAGCAGACTCCAAGGGCATTTAAATTAAAGGTACAGTGTTGTCTGCACTAATATAAAGGCTCTCTGAAGCCTAGAAACACCCTTTATATAAGTTAAATTTCGCAGCGAATATATTCGACTCGAATCAAATTTTTTTCCCAAGATCCACGAATTCGTCGAATCAGCCGAATCAAATTTTTGATAAATTCGCTCATCTCTAGTTATGATCCAATGAAAAATGCATAAAAAATGCAACACAACCTGTGGGAAGTTTGCAAGCCGCCATTTACATAATTGCATCTCTCCTCGTGCATTAAACATGATAATCAGAGGCAGCAGGAGGAGCCTGAGCATGGTGGCGCAGGAGAGTGTGAAGTAAGCACTCCCCGACAGCCCTCCTTTCTATCCTCCCTAAAGTGCCTATTATCTCGATGCTGCAGAGGTTGACCGCTGGAGACATACCTATGTGAGGGAGGGTCTCAGCGGCGGAGTAGTGGCTCGAGTGGGGTAAAGAGGTTGTGAGGCTTCCAGCTTTCGGCGGGTCTGACGGCTGTGATCCTTGGGCGAAGTTTGCCGGGTTGCTGGGAGACAGAGTGAAGTGGCTTTAGATCACGTGATCAAGCCGCGGAGGAGAGCTGGGAGAAGGAGAAGCCGTCCAGTGTCCTAAGGGGGGAGAGAGACGCTGGCTTGTGCTCGGCTCGCTCCCGGTTTATAAGGACCTTGGAGCGGGATCGACACAGAGAAAGACCCCGGAGGAATCCCTCCATAGAGCGGGCATAAGAAGGAGAAGCTCGGCCCCAGAAGGAAAAGCCTGAAGCCTGCCTCACAAAAGAGATAGGAAGAGGGGAAGGTGAGTGTGAGTCGGCTGGGCTGGACTGTGGTCTATGGGTACATAGTACAGCATGTAAATTAGATGGGGGAGATTCTAAGGTCTGAAGGTGCAGAAGATAAAGACTGGAGTAGTTGGCCCTAGAAGACATATAAATTGTGAAACAGGAGATTTAAAAGTTGTAGTGGGTCAATAAAAAATTATTAAAGTATCCCAGCGTTTAAATAAGAGAAAGCAAGTCTCTCCAGCGACATGAAAAATAAAAGTTTTAAGGAAGCGGGCCTAAGGGGTTTCCAAACAGGTATAAAAATATACTTCACAGGGGAATGTGACTCCAGAAAGATTGCAGGGAGCAAGTGAAAGGAGTGAAATGGAAATCAGTATGGTAAACAGTCCTAGACAATCCCTGGGAATGGTTAATAGCAGCTAACAAACGATAGGAGTGAATGGAGGAGAGAGAACATGAAGAAGAACTCACAAATGCCAAATAAAAAAAGAAATGGCAAAAATGTTCAAAAATTTGGAAAAAGCAATAAAGCAAGAGATCGGGATAATACAGAAAGACCTGGGGCATTTGCTATCTAGAGTGGAAGAAACGGAGGAAAAAGTTAAAAATCATGCCCAAATTATTTCGAAATTAGAAAAATGGACAATAGATATAAGGAAAGAACAAAGAAAGCTGCTATATAAGATGGAGGACCAAGAAAACAGGGTTAAGAGATGTAATCTAAGGATACGAGGGGATAATGTACCAGAGATATCACAAGGGGAAGACCTAAGGGGAACAACATGTAAAATACTAAACACTATAATGGATAGATCTGCTTCAGAGATTTTTAAATTAGATGGTGTTTACAGAATAGGAAAGTTCCAACAAGAAAGGGGTAATGAAAAACCAAGAGATATAATTGTGCAATTCCATAATTATGGGGACAAAAAAGAGATTATGGAAGAAAATTAAAGGAAGAATGAGTATTAACTGTGGAGAAATAAAAATTCAGATTTTTGCAGATTTAGTGGTTGGGACGATATTGAGGAGGAGATCCTTGAAGCCATTATTAGAACAGATGAAAAAACAAAATGTGCAATATAGATGGGGCTTTCCCGGCGTGTTTAATTGGATGGAAAAATGGAGTTACAGCAATTTTGAGATTTCCTGAAGACATGAGAGATTTTTGTGACAAACTTGAACTGCAGCGAATGGAGAAACCTGGATGGGAAGAAGAAGTAGGAGAGATATGGGCTATGGAAAAGAGGACTGGCAGCAAATTAGAAGGAAAAATAGAGTGTAGAGAAGAGGGGGGGAGTGGGCGAGGAAATATGGAGGAGGTAAATTTTTTTTTCCTCTTCCTGCATCTTCTTCCAGCCTCCCACTTGGAGAGTTTGTGGAAACTTATTGAATTAGATAAATAGAGGGTGGGGGAGGGAGGGGGGAAAGGAGGCGTGGGGTGGGGGGGGGAAGGGGGGGGGAGGGTGGGGTGGGAGGTGGTATGGGGGGGGTGGCAGATTCCCCAATTAGAAGAGCAAAGGGGGTGGCAATAGGATTTGCAAAGAATATAAGGTTTGAGTTGGAGGATAGAGTGACAGACCCTGAAGGGAGATTTTCTGTTTCTAAAGGGTAAATTACAAGAAATAGAGTGTACAGTAGCTAATATTTATTGTCCAAATAAGAAGCCGGAGATATTCTTGAAAAATGTCTTGAAAAAATTGATGGATTTTAAAAAAGGTGGTTTTGATTTGTGGCAGGAGATTTTAATCTTTCGCAGATGGATACAACCTCTCCTGTGCAGAGGGAGGAGAGTAGGTCTCTGAGATCATTGAAGAGGATGATATATGAATGTCAATTGGTAGACATATGGAGAATTAAACATATGAAGGATAGAGACTATACTTTTTTTCTCACATGCACATGAGATGTATTCGACACTGGATTATATATTGTTAGAACATCGATTTATAGAGTCCTTGGTCAAAGTAAAAATTGAAGTAATGTCAATATCAGATCATGCACCTGTTACAATGAAATTAATATGGGGGAGGGAGTTGAGAGGGGGAACAGTATGGAGGTTGAATGAGACACTTTTCCTGGATCAAGATACCGATCAAAAAATGAAGGAAGAAATAGAGTGATTTTTTGAGGAAAATGATACAGGAGACGTGTCAGTGGCTACAGTATGGGAGGCTCACAAGGCTTACATTAGAAGAATCCTTATTGTGATCGGGGCAAAAAAGAAAAGGGAAAGGAGAGAAAAAATTAATGGGCTCCTCAAGGAACTCTTTGAACTTAAACAATTACATAAAAGTAGAATAACAAAAAGAGATAATCCAGAGGGTAATAAGAAAGAAGAACTAAATAATTTAATGGAAGAAGAAAAGAGAAGAGTTTTTAATAAAATAAGTGAAAGGTATAGATGGGGAGATAGGTCTGGAAAATATTTAATGAGGGCTCAGAGGAAAAAAAAAAGGCTAGGAATTATATAGAAACAATAAGAGATCCCAAGGGATGGTCGAGAATTGGTTCATTCAACCAAATATATTACCAGGGTGTTCAAAAGAATATTATAGTAAGTTTTATAATATTACCTCCCATAATCCTATAAATAATGATGGAATAGGGAAAATCGAAAAAAGACAAACATATTTAAAAAACGCAGGATTGTCAAAATTAAGTGAAGTACAATTGAATTCCCTAGAATCAGAAATAACGCAAGAAGAAATACAAGTAGCATTAAAAAGTACCATGGTTGGAAAAGACCAGGGCCAGATGGATATACTGTTGAGGTATTATAAAAAATATAAAGAACTATTAGTACCTAAATGAAAGAATACATGAATGCACTAGGAGGAGAGATGGAAATGAGGAGAGAATCCCTACAGGCACATGTGGTGGTTTTTATTCATAAAGAAGGAAAAGATGTCACTCAATATGCAAGCTATAGACCGATTCATTATTGAACACAGATACTAAATTATATGCAAAGGTTTTAGCAAATAGACTGAAAGATTTAATGCCTGAATGGATACATATGGACCAAGTGGGTTTTGTTTCGGGGAGAAAGGGTAGAGACAATGGGTTGAGATCTTTGATGCTCCTCATTCAGAAAAGTAGAAAAGAGAAAACCCCGGTGGTGGTGCTTTCGATTGATGCCGAGAAGGCATTTGATAGAGTAGATTGGGGATACATGATGGACACTTTGGAAGTAATAGGGCTGGGAATTTAGAATGAGAGAGTGGATAAGGAAGTTATACAGTGTGCCCTCTGCAGCAATCATGGTTAATGGGGATTTATCAGAATATTTTGGGATGTTAAATGAAACAAGACAGGGGATGCCCACTGTACACATTATTGTATGTTTTGTCATTGGAATCTTTGCTATCTACAATAAGGAATAATACAGACATAAAGGGAATATGGATAGGAGATACAGAACATAAGGTGGCAGTTTATGCGAATGATCTGATGTTTTATGTGAAGAACACCAGGATAACACTGCCAAATTTAATGAAGAAACTGAAAGAATACGGAGAGTTATCAAACCTAAAAATGTATCCAACAAAAACTGAGATCTTAAATATAAATCTTCCAAATAGAGAGAAAAATAAGATACAAGAGGAATTTCCCTTCATCTGGAGAGAAAAAGAACTAAAATATTTAGGAATACAAACTAACTAACTGCCTCTTATAAGAATTTATATAAATTAAATTATATTCCATTGTTAAATGAGATTAAGGAGGCATTAAGGAAATTAGGTGGAGGAAGCCCTTCATGGATAGGGCATAAAAATCTGATAAAAATGGTAATTGTTCCTAAAATCTTATATAAATTTCAAATGATAGCAATTAAGCTCCCAGAAGTATATTTTAAAATAATTAGAAAAATGATAACAAGATATATTTGGAGGAATAAAAAACCTAGAATAGGCTATGACATATTATGTAGAAACAAAGAGAAGGGTGGATTGGGAGTCCCAGATTTTAAAAGATACTATAATTCAGTAATAATGGTGAGAATTTTTGCTTGGATGCATAACTCAAAGGGGAAAAGCTGGGTTAAAATTGAAAATGTACTTAGTAGAACTAATTTAAGTAGGATCATATGCGTGCCTACACAATATCGTGGGTTAGTAGATAGCACAAGTTTGTATACTTTAAATGTTTTAAGAGTTTGGGATGTGTTGCACAGACAGAAGAGATGGGAATTTTAATTCACTGCTAATGCCACTAGGGGATACAGAGTTTTTTCCTAA